CAAAATTTAAACTCATGTTGCGGATTTGCAGTAGAAATGAGAACGAGGCAAGGGCCAACGCGATGGCCAACAAACTGTCTTGAGGTGACACAGATAAGTTTTGGAAATTGGTTCAATCAGATACAATTAAATCATGTCCTTCTCCAAGTAATATGGGTGGCTGTAGTGGGCATTTAAACATTGCCAATATGTGGAAGCATCACTACGAAAGGTTGTTGAACTCAGTTTCGGGCTGTAAGCATAAAAATCATGTGACCTCATTATTACAGAATATTGTATTTCACGATGACATAATTGTTACTACACAAGAAATTGTTGAAGCAGTCAATAAATTAGAAAAGGGGAAGGCTGCAGGAAAAGATAATTTGTCCTCGGAGCATTTAATTTTTGGCAATCCGGCTATTTATCCGTTGTTGAGTATGTGTTTTACTGACCTATTTGTTCACGGTGACTTACCTGGTGATTTAATGAGCGCGGTTATTGTACCTATCATAAAAGATAAAGCTAAAGATTTAACATCTACTGATAATTATAGACCCATTGCACTGGTGTCTGTGATTTCTAAAGTGTTTGAATTGTGTATTTTGACAAGACTAGAAATGTATATTGGGACGAATGACTTCCAGTTTGGGTTTAAAAGTCATCATCAACTGACATGTGTATATTTATTCTTAAAGAAATTGTTGATTTTTATAAGAGGCACAACTCTCCTGTTTTATGGATGCCACAAAGGCATTTGACCGAGTAAATCATTGGTCTTTGTTTCATAAGCTTATAAAGAAGCAGGTGCCTTTGTTCATTGTGCGGTGTTTGACCAGGTGGTACCGTAACCAATTAGTTTACGTTCGTTGGGTATCTGGTGTGTCAGAATCTTTCAAGGTCTCCAACGGCGTTCGTCAGGGAAGTTTTCTTTCCCCAAAATTATTTGCGGTATATGTAGACGACTTAAGTGAAAAACTAAGGCTGGCGAGGGTCGGGTGTCACTTAGGAGCACGTATTCTGAACCATCTTTTATAAGCAGACGACAGAGCCTTGGTGTGTCCATCTGCTAAAGCTCTACAGACGCTTGTGTCAATTTGTGAGAAATATGGAGTAGAATATGATATTAATTTCACACTATAGTTTCATTATAGTTTCACACTATAAAAACAAAATGTATGGTCTTCCTTCACAGTGCATGGAAACCTAATAGTATCTCCAACATCTATTTGTATGGTAAATATTTGAACTATGTTATCAAATATCTTGGTTACATTGTGTCATCATCAGGCAGTGATTGTCAAGATATGCAAAGACAGCTAAGGTCAATATATGCAAGGGCAAATATGATTTTGCGTAATTTTGGTCTCTGTTCAGAGTATGTGAAACATACACTTTTTAAAGCGTTTTTAAACAGTATTTATTGTCTTAATATTTGATGTAATTATAGTGGTCGGCAGCTAAACAAAATTAAAGTTGCCTATAATAATGCTATACGATTAGTTTTTAAACTAAGACGTGCCTCAAGTGCTAGTTCTAATTGACTCAATAGAAATATTTTAAATTTTTCATCTCTACAGAGAAAAGCATTGTACAATTTTAATATGCGGCTTTTTCAAAGTAAGAATAGTATAATTTCCGATTGCATTAACTGCGATTCATATTATAAATCAATCTTTTGGCGCCATTACAGACGCCTTTTGTATGTTTTATAAAATGTTTTATTTTAGTATGTTTTCTTTTTTGTGTGTACTTTATGGCCTGTGTACCTGAAATAAAGAAATAATAATAATAATAATTAATGCTTGTGGTGCTTTATTTATATGTCAGACATGAACATGAATATATCCGCAATATAATTTCAATGTTAATTTACAAGTTCAGAGCGATGTCAATGTGATTTCTGCGTAAAAGCGATGGGAAAGCATGATTCAAACAATTGTTTTGACTGCTCAAAATGACTGTCAGTCATGGGTTTATGCAAATGCAAGGTGTTAATCCTGAGTTGTTTGTTCAATCTCTAGGTATGTTTATGTAAATATGGAGTTGATGATGTAAGTAATGGAGTAATGGAGCTAATAAGAAATAATAATAAGTAATAATAAGTAATGGAGCTAATAAGAAAAGATATGCTGTGAGATGTTTCTCTAGTCACTTCAGGGGCGTCGTCCACACAAATTGGTCTAGCTCAAGCGAGTGCGGATAGCACGAGCTGGGGTGTGCATGAGAGGGGAGGGATTGTGCATAAACATTTCAATAACTTCCTTAGTATAAGTGCGCAAAGAAAGACAGACATAATTCCAGAAGACCTACCTACACCTTATGCAATTTTTTTTTCAAATTATGCTAATTTATTCATGAAGTGGCAGCTTCTGTACTCATGAACATTCATTAATTTGTGGGTCAATACATTCTAAATTTAGGCAGAGGGTTCTCTGAACCCGCCTATTCACATAGTTCATACCCACCATAGACTCCGGTCAGTCAAAATGACTATTTTGAACTGTAGGCATTAATCAGCGATTCTGCCAATGACGGAGGGATAGAATCTAGGTCAGGGGAAGCCCCATGACCCCAAGATTCTTTTCCGTTACGTCATGGGCGGCGTCCATACGGCTGGCTAATTACTCTGGTTCCTTTCTCTCCGCCTACGTTCAATTACCCACCATAGACTCCGGTCAGTTTCTGGGGGTAGTAAGCTTTCGAAGTAAAGACCGAAACAGTTCTGCGTGAGGACATAGGCTGCAAAGCGGGACCTGGGAGCTTCCAGGGGAGTGCTGATGGTAGAGAAATCTGTCCGCAAAAAATGACGAGACTGACTTATTGCCTATGCGCAGGGACCCTTGTGGTCATTCGGGCTGGGTCAGCAAACAAAGACTGACCCGCTACAACAGGACCCAACCTGAAGAGACCCTCCTCAATGGATTCGGTGTCTCTTAGGTGGTAGTTGATAAAGACGTTCTGCGTTCTCCAGAAGCCTGCCCTCCGTGTGTGCTCGAGGGGAGGGGGGGGGCGTCTGACGCTAACGCTAGCACTAGTGAGTTAGCAATCGCACGGACCTCATGCGCTCATACTTGGTGTCTCTCCAAGCTCTGTGTCAAGGCAGTTAAAGTATTATAGACCTCTAATACAGTCGCAGTAAACCTGGTTATGGAAGTTGGGGAGGCCGGCCTATCCTACCTGCCTGGGCCGTAACACAAAGATATGAGTCTGGCACCCCGTTCCAAATCCTTAGGACGGTTTGGTAGCAACTTCGTGCTTGAACCTGGTAGAGAAGCAATTCCTCCTGACCTTCCCGGGTGACAAAATTTGACAGCCGGGGGATGACGATCTGGTGAGGATCGTGTCCTGGGATTTGGTTCTTGGCGAGAAACCCGATTCGTGTTTTTAGCACAACTTGATTGTCCATAACGACGGTACATCATTCGAGAAGGACAATGCCCCCAGCTCTGGCCAATGCCTACCTGAGACGAAGGCCAGTAGGAAGACTATTTTCCACATCAAAAATTTGAGTGGTGCTGATCGAAGAAGCTCAACGGGCGGTCTCCTCAGAGCGGACAACACAGTACACACAGTTGGGCGATTCCTTTGTATGGGGTCGCTGCGTCTGGAAAGCAGTAAATAGTCTCCTAATAATAGGACAATCGGCTAGTCTTGTTCCCGTACGTTCTCAATGGTGGGGGACAAGGCCGACCTGTAGCCAATGATCGTTGCATAGGACAAACCCACTTCGTCAAACAGGTGGACGAAGGAGCCTGCTACCTGGCCAATAGAAGGATGGTATGGATAATTCTCCCTTCCCCTACACC